ATATATATATATATATATATATATATAGGCCTAAAATTATACAGCTGAATCAATATAATTTCTGTTAATATTTCTTATACATGTGAATGACCCAAGTTGACCATAGCAAACAACTTCGAAATGATTACGTATAGGGATGCGGTTTGCGCTAAGATAATAATGGTGGAGGAAATAACATGCTTTGTAACTAGATTGTATTTAAAAAATTTAAAAAGTTACAACTTTGATTTTTTAAATGGATTTTTTTTCTATATTTTTCTACTACCATTGTTAAGAAATCGAAGAGACGAATACAATGAATATACACAATATTTGGAAAGTGTATAAAAAATAATTTAAAAACCCTCAGAAAACGCGTTTTCCTCTCCTGTTTTTCACAAGGCGAAAAGAGAGTTTGTTCTTCGATGGAGCTCCGCTCTAGAAATCGAAATCGAAACTTCGTGTTTTTAATAAAAGTTATTTTTGCATCGCTTTCTTGCCTTGATTCCCCTATTATACATTTCTGCATTGTCTTAGAGCAATGCAAACTAATTCTTCGGGTAGCAAAATTTGTGTTCGCATTCTACAATGGAATGCTTTGATTCATAGATTTACTGATTTAATTAATAAATAAAGAGACGAAAAATCCACATTTATTTGTACTCACTGGTATCAGAAGGTAATTTAGAACTTTAAACAATTATTTAATAGTTATTTCCCTAAAATTTTCAGTTTTTGGTTGAAAGTGCGTCTGACCTTGCCAGTGCTTACACTTTTTGTCTTTCTACCTCTCCGTGTGCGACCTCGCTGTCGCGTGTCAGCAGAAACGGTGTATTCGGCTGAGCGTACGGCAAGTGATCCCAAGGTGGAGCCTGACGACATCTTACAAGTGACAGTGATAAATTACATTTATTTAGAAAGCTGAAATAAATGTAATTTGTTATAAATGCATCGTGATAGTTGACGTTGGCATGGAACAACAAATAAACAACCTATTTCCGCCAATATCGCCCATTGGTAATTTTAATGAAATCGATACCGGAGTTGGACAGAAGTGCAGTGATTTCAGAAGAAAATAAATGAGAAACCTAAGAACACGACATTACTGAATGATCCAAGATAGTAAGTTACGTAATAAGTACACGAAAACGGCATGGTGTCAAAAGACAAGCACACGAATCAACTCGCGCAAGTAGCGAGCCAAAATGAAGCTCGTGTAACGTAAAGAGCGAGTGAGCATCCAGCCAAAACCACAAAATGAATATTTCCAGCACTTAGATATAATTTACATGGAAAAGTACGAACTACTTATACACGTCAATAATGACAAAATTTTGTATGTTTTCCAATCATTTATCAACGTCAACAATAATTTATTTTATAAAGGTTTTATATTCAAAAACTTAACATTGATGCATATGTGCTCAAACCAAAAGGTCACAAATAATACACTGAAAAATAAAATTTACTTCTAAACACACAATTTTAACGAAATAAAACTTGTACAGCAAAAAACTGCAACTCGTTCACTTGAAAACTGAACGAATAATAAACAAAATATGTAGATCTTAATACTTGGCAGACCATTTGTTTTTAAAACCGCCTTTCTTCTTGTCCCGCGATATCATGCACGTCATGCGATATATGTATACGTATGCACATATAGCAATATGTCCTACCCTAATTTATGCCAAATATTCTCTACAACGTTTATATCAGGGGTTTGTGGTGGGGTATCAAGAACCTTAGTGCAATTATAAAGCAGGCATGTACGTACTTTTAACGCTTTATGCTTCGTGGATCATTGTCCTTACACACCTTGTCTTTAATACAGAATTTTTCAGCACAACTTTTTAAATGTTATTTTGAAATGTCTAAATACATATCTTGGTCGATTATGCCGTCAATGAAATGTAAATTATCCGGTCCTGCGGCAGGCATGTATCCCCACAGTGACTGATCTTCCACCATGTTTTATAGTGAGCTAGTGGCAAAGGTGGCTCAGGGCATCAAATGTCATGGCAATGCCTCTGATCGGAAGGGCCTGGGACTCGAGTCCCCACGGTGGCAGGTAGCTTATCAGCTAGGTCGAATTCAGCGTCTGGAGAATTCTATCGGCCGTCGGCTCTGATCGGTATTTTCCGTGGTTTCTCCGATCAATACCAGGCGACTGCCGGAGCAGTATCCCAACAAACGGGCCACAGACCACGCGCGATCTTTCCTTCCTCTTCCAAGTCCTTTCCTTCCCTTACACACACACGCACTACCCAATCACACATATCGGGAAACCAGCTGGGAAGCTTAAAGCGTGTCGCCGAGCTGACGGGGGTGCCACTCATAACCTCTGATGGGAACTACATAGTTGGGGGAAATCCCTGTAAGCAGACGTAGATCGGCATCGGATCTTGCCAGCCAGCGGGAGATAATCATAGCCACCTCGTGCGATGACAATATACACTATAATTATGGGACTAATGACCTTAGCAGTTGACGTGTCCCGAATCACTAATCTCTAATGTGTGCTGCATGCACTGCTTTCTAAGCTCTTCATTAAGTCTTCAAACAGTCACCTTACAATCTGATTGACAGGTTCAATAGACTCTCGAGATACATCCCACTTTTCCAAAAATCGAAATCCTTCCTGGAATTGTAGAAATGTTTCCTCTTGAGTCGATTTTCTGTCGACACCTAATGTTTGGAATCGTACTGCGCTCCAGATAAAACTGAATAATTGATGGAATGTTTTTCACTGACGAAAGTCTCTGTTTTTGTGCAAATGATGGACGCCAAATAAAGCCTACGCGTTTTAATTTGAGCGTACGAGCAGCATGATTTTCTTAATTTTGCGTGTTTTTTTTTTGGGGGGGGGGGTATATCCATACGCCAATGATTTGTATTATACTCTAAGCACTGTATTTGGCTAGTACAACATGCATTTAAAAGTATCCTGCGAAAAGTTATCATTTACAATTTTGAGCCTGTCACATTAGCGTAGGACTTTCATTTTTTCTTATTGTATTTAACACGCCCTGCTAAAGATCTTTCTCAGACACTTCGCGTTGTTTCGCGCACTATTAGTTCAAATGAACAAAATAATGTTTCGCAGACAGAAAAGAAGCATGAAAAGCCGTAAAATACGTATCGCGGATCGTTAGTACATTTATGTAGAACGTGAATACTCTGAATTCAGAACGCAGAAAGCGGTTTTCGTTTAAACATTTAAATTTTAAAAAACATGTTTTTCGTTTGTAAGAATTTTTTAAATAGTAGTTGAAGTGTAAGACAGAAATAGTCATATAACAAATTTATAGCCATTAACAAAATCGCTATAAAGTGTGCTATTGGAGCACCAGGGTCGTTCCATGCAAAAAAGTAGATTAATGACACGGCTCCTTTAAACTTAAAAATATCTTGGGATATTGTCCATAATCCTACATCGAGGTTTTCGAGGTTCAATACTAAAATTGTCAAACTGATTGTAAGGCAACAATGCACGCTTGAAACTTAAGACTACTTGTGAACACCCCTATTTTCTTTAAATTTTGTTGCCCCTTACAAACGTTTCCAAAATATTGTGAGTATATATAAGATATGTAATAAAATTATTCATTAAATATCAATTTTATATCGTGCTATTCTTGGCATAAAATAAAAAAAAAAACTTTTAAAATGCAATTATTTTAAAGACAAACTTTTAAAATGTATGAAAATCTCCAATAATGTTTTATTCAGGATTTTATAGAAACTAATAGGTTTTCTTGATATCTTACAAGGAAGAA